GGGCCCCAAGACACTGGCAGACCCAGCATAGGTCCAGGCGAGCATTCCCACCGCTCCTGCATCCACAGGCAGAAGAGCTTCAAGGCCTCTGACACACTGGCCCTGCCCGGCACTGTCTGCTGGGCTAAGATATTCTCCCTCCAAAATCAAAGGAAAGCTCCGGTCCTCAGAGCCTGGACCTCTGATTCTATGTCACCTCTGAGGCCCAGCACCAGAAGTTGTTGGCTGCCCTTCCCACCTAGCCCAGTCAGTGTGGGTCCTGTACCCTGCCCCTATCTGGTCAGAACCCCAGGTGCCCAAGCCCCACCAGTGTATCCTGGTAGAAGACCTGAGACTGGCCACTTGGAGGACAGTGCTCCTGCCATTGCCTCTAGCCTCTTCCCTCTGGCAGGGGTGCCCATGAGAGGGGAGCCTTGCCCTAGGTGGGGCTGGTGGGTAAGCTCAAGCCTGTCTCCTTCCTGGACTCAGAAGGGCTGACGGGTGGGAGGTAAGGGCATTCTGTTTGGTGTGCTTGGAAATAAAGCCCAGTGCTGTCTGAACCTTCAGAAAAAAAGGGGAAAAAAAGGAAAAAGAAAAGAAAAGAAAAAGTCTTTTCTATATGCTGTTTTGGTCAAATAAACTTGACAACCTTCCCAGGTTTTGAATTTTTTTAAAAAGTATTTTAAATATATATTTTATTGATTTTTTACAGAGAGGAAGGGAGAGAGATAGAGAGCTAGAAACGTCGATGAGAGAGAAACATTGACCAGCTGCCTCTTGCACACCCCCTACCAGGGATGTGCCCACAGCCAACGTACATGCCCCTGACCGGAATCGAACCTGGGACCCTTCAGTCCGCAGACCGACACTCTACCACTGAGCCAAACCGGTTTTGGCCCAGGTTTTGAATTTTAAGAAACTTTTCTTGACAGAGAATTGGCTTTAAGTCATTCTAATAGGCCCAGTTTGCCCTACGGAAACATTGCAATCACTGGGATCACTCTCTGCATCAGACCAGTGTTTGTTCCTCTTCTGTGGAGGGAAATTTACACAGCAGTGCAGAAGATCTCCTCAGTAAGTGTGATCATCCAGCAGACACATGTGGTCACGCACATGTGAACACAAACAATACAGGAGGCCTCTTTGGTAAGTATGATTAGTCTCACAGGCACTTACATATGGTCACGCTTATGGGCACACAGCAGTAGAGTCTTAAATCAGACAGGATCATCCTGGTAAGCACATGTAGCAGGCAATCTTCATCTTGTCCTACACAGCAGACATCTTAGGAGGGCCCAGACAAGATGGCACTGGCTGCTTCCTGTTCGCTTTGCCTTTTCAGATGGGGTACTCCTCATCTACCACCAAGATCAGCATCCCCCTCTCCCTCCCTAGATTGTATCCTGAGGAACTGGGGTTCATTGGATCCACAAACCCTGAAGAGAAAGTGCATGATCTTCTTTTGTACTCAAGCTTTGCCGCAATATAAGCTTGCAGAAACAGAGACATGGTCCCTAATCTTGCCAGTAGATCTTTTCTGTATGAAGGAAGGGAAGTGGTCTGAGGTTTCAGACCTTCTTTGCCTTAAGAGACAATCAGAAATTGTGTCAGCAGCACAAAATCAATCCCTGTTTTCCAGGCAGCATTGACCAGAGAGTCAGAAATCCCTTAGGAGTTGACAGGGCTTAGTGGCCCACCAAATGCATTTGAGCTATCTTGTCCTCCTTATCCAGGACCACTGGCAGGACCAGTCCCACCTAGGCCCAGGGGGACTTGGTCATCCAGGTCCCCGGCTATCCTTTGCTCTCTCCAGGCAGTGTCAGGGGGGGAATTCGGATCTACCTTGGTCCAGGTATTGTTTTCCCTACAGGACTTATGACAAACTAAGATAGATTTAGGAAAGTTTTTCAGGTGACCTTGACAAGTGCATAGATGTTTTTCAGGGACTGAAATAAACCTTTGATAGATCAATGAAAGATGTAATGCTTCTTTTGAGTCGACACTCTCGGAATCAGAGAAGTGGGCAATCCTAGCAGATACAACTCAGCAGTTTGGGGATGAATATATCTTAGCAAATGCCAGTGGGGTCCCCTATGATCAGATTGATCACTACCCTATTGTCCAGAAAGACCTTAAATGGCTTGCTGATGAGCGAGCAGATTAGAATAGAAAACATTTCCAGGTTTGAGAGATTCAAGACTTAACGAGGTGCCCCTCCAAGATCTTGAACGACTCTAAATTGTCAACTACAGACTAAGGGGAGGATGATAATCCCTTGGTCTTCATGGACAGACTCAAGGAGGCTCTGACAAAATGCACTTCTATGTACCAGACTCTTTTAAGAGTCAACTTATTTTATTATTATTTTTTTTCATTAAAAAATATATATATATTTTGTTGATTTTTTTTACAGAGGAAGGGAGAGGGATAGAAAGTTAGAAACATCGATGAAAGAGAAACATCAATCAGCTGCTGGGGATGTGCCTGCAACCAAGGTACATGCCCTTAACTGGAATCGAACCTGGGACCTTTCAGTCCACAGGCCAATGCTCTATCCACTGAGTCAAACCAGTTAGGGCAGTATTTTGCTTTTCTTAAATACAATTGCTTTTTACTCAGTTTAAGGTTAATATTACTTGATTATTAGAACTGGAATCTAAAGAAGACCCCCAAATCATTCTGAGGCTGCTGAGCAAACAGGTGCTGGTACATACAGAGAGAATCGAGCCTACCCAAAACATCCGTCAGTCCATGACAATAATGACCCCTTAATTTGCCTTGTAAGTAATTTTGCCAGAATCCCAAATGCCAATGCATGCCTAAACTTTACTGTAGGTTCCTCTTATAAGTTTAGAGAACTAAATCCACATATCCCCATCTTTTGCTTCAATTTAACCCAACATTGGAATGAGAAACCAAGACCCATCTCAAATATATATATAGTGAGCAGCCAACATAAATCAGACCATTTGGACCATTTGCTGACTTGCTGTCAGACCCACATTTCTGGGTAATCTTTTGATATGAAGTAATACAGTGTTTGAGCCTTGGCTGAATATTAATACTTAGGAGGGAGCCCTATATTCATTGCCTGGCTACTCTTTTAATCCTTTTTTTTTTTTTTTTTTGACTTTAGAGAGAGAGGTTAGAAACATTGATGAAAGAGAGAGAACTCCCTGGAAAAACATGATTCTATCTCCGATCCCCTGGGAAGGGCATTTCCCCTTCCTGTGCTAATGAACATATGCACAGAAATCTCTCTTTGACATTAGGAGACATTGCTGATTCCAGTGCACAAGCAATGGCTGCCCAATAAAGATCACTTGACTTTTTAGCCAAAATGTGTCTAGACAGCAGAATAGCTTTTATTTGCTTGCTGAACAAGGAGGTGTATGCAAACACTACTTGTTGCATTAAAAAAAAATATTTTTTTTATTGATTTCAGATAGTAATGAAGAGGGAGAGAGAGATAGAAACATCAATGATGAGCGAGAATCATGGATAGGCTGTCTCCTGCATGGCCTCCACTGAGGACTGAGCCTGCCACACGGGCATGTGCCACAACATGGAATTGAACCATGACTTTCTGGTTCATAGGTCGACACTCATCCACTGAGCCACATCAGATGGGCATATTGCTTTTCATTTTATTTTGCATAATCATTTTTAAAACTTTACTTATTGCATTTGAGTCTCTGTAGACATGATACAAAAATAGGGTGGCTTTAGCCAGTTTGGCTCTGTGGATAGAGTGTCGGCCTGCGAGCCAGGTTTGATTCCAGTCAAGGGCACATACCTCACTTGCAGGTTCCTCCCCAGCCCAGGCCATGGTTGGGGCGTGTGCAGGAGGCAACCAATCGATGTGTTTCTCTTGCTTCGGTGTTTCTGTGTTTCCCTCTTTTTTTACCTCTCTCTCTAAAAACAAACAAACAAACAAACAAACAAACAATAAATTAATTAAAAAAAGGTAAAAAAATTTAAATGGAAAAAGTATTCTCTGGTGAGGATTAAAAACAATTTAAAAAAATAGAGTGATGATAGCCCAGTGCTTCAAGATGACTTTCGATGTTTACACTTAGACAAAATACAAACGTAAACTAGAAAATGCCTGTGAGCCCCTTTTTCTACCTTCCTTGTTGCTCAAATGTGGCCTCTATGATTGCCAATCACCCCCTGCCCTCTCCTTGTGGGGCATGATTCTTGGGAAAGGTCCTTCCTGGCTCCGAGGCACATGGAAAAAAAGAAAAGCAGGTGACAAGTAGATAAATAAATAACCAGACACTGACCAGAGATGTTTTCAAAGAAAGCTCTTGATGTGAAGGGGGAAATGTGACAAAACCATCTATCTCAATTTGCAGAGCAGGAAGAAAGAAATTCATTCATAGTTTATACAAAACAAAACAAAACAAAACAAAAACAAAAACCCCAACTGCCACCTGCCAGTCAATGAAAAGCGGCTGCTCTTATTCTGAACCATGCTCCCCCCCCCCCACCACCCCGCCCTCCAAATAACCGTTAGAACATAAACCAATAGAATAACACTGATGTTGGGCAAGCACCAAAAACGATAGGATGCTTCCTGTGTTAGTTTCAGCCTATATTTGAGCCAGAGAGTCCAGATAATGTCTTTCGAAAAAAGCCGAAACGTGTCTGGGCTTGCCCCGAGGAGGGTGGGGCACCATGTGTTTGTGTAATGAAGAGGCCTTCCGGTATAGAGTGAGTGCTAAGGAGAGAAAGAACCATGCAGCCACATATATAGTTTTATTATAAATCATATTTAATAGTGTATTAAACAATAAACGGAAAAAAAACCCCAAAACCCCAGAGTGTTAGGTACCCGAAGGTGAAGTGCAAGAAGCCAGGCTGGTGAGGGACTATGGATTGACTCAGGTGTCCCCACACCAGGGGGCTGAGCCCGAATGGCTCCAGCACCCCGTGATGGGAGTCTGATGATTTTAAAGGGCTTCTTCCAGCCTACCCGGAGGGGAGAAAAAAAATGTAGTCACCACAAGTGAAACGTAGTGAAGTGACTAAAAAGCCCGCTCCTCATCTCCCAAAAATCTGAGTGAGGAGGTATATAGCAGTCAGGGGTGCACCCACTGAACCCCAAAAAAGGTCTCATCCAAATTTTGGGATGGCAGCAGCGGCAGAGTGAGGTTGGTGCAGAGAGTGTCCCCGTGGGCCAGGTAGGTCAGGCGCTGGGAGGAGACAGTGCAGTGGAGATGGAAGTTGAGGCGAAGCAGGCTAATGCTGTGCCCCGCTGGAGAGCAGATGCCCACCACCAGGGTGGCCCTGCGGGGCACAGTGTTCTTCACGGAGGAGGAGCAGTTGGTTAGTGTCACCTGGATGTGCAGCCTGTAGATGCCATCACGCTGGACACGCAGCTGCCCGTTGTCCAGCTGTGGCCCATGCAGGAAGGAGCGGCCCAGGGCTGGGGCCCCCTGCCAGTACAGCCGGGGGTCCTGCCGCAGACCTGGAGGCAGAGGGTTGGGGTGGAAGGATGGCAGTTTAGGGAAAATGAGGGCTGTGGACAGGATGTCCAAAATTTTTATGTTGACACCTAATTCTCAAGGTTATGGTTTTAGGAGGTGGGGCCTTTGGGAGTGATTAGGTCATGAGGGTACAGCCTTCCTGAATGGGCCCTTATTGATGGATGAGTGGATTAAACATCACACACACACACACACACACACACACACACACACACAGAGAAATATTATTATGCTGTAAAAGAGAAGGATATCCTGTCATTTGAGGCAACATGGATGGACCTTGAAGGCATTATGCTAATTAAAACGAGCTAGACAGAGAAAGACAAATATCATACAACCTCACTTATACATGGAATCTAAAAATAAACAAACAAACAAAAACACAATGAACTCATAAATTGGTGGTTGCCAGAGGTGGGAGTGCAAAATGAGGGAAGGTAGTTAAAAGGTACAAGCTTCCACTTATAAAAATGTCCTGGGGATCTTATTACAGCATGGCAACTATGTACATATACTATATAATAAAAGCTTAATATGGTAAGTGTCTGGTCATCAGTTCAACCAATCAAATTGTAATATGCTAAGGCCACTCAACTGCATGCTATGATGTGCACTGACCACTAGGAGGCAGACACTCCAACTGGTAGGTTAGCTTGCTGCTGGGGTCCAGCTGATTGGGACTGAACAAGACTGGCCAGACATGCCCTGGAGCTCTCCCTCGGCCCTCCCTGGCTGGTCAACCTCCCAAGTCCCTCCCTGGCCCCAATCATACACCAGTGGCATTCCTTAGCCTGGCCTGCACCCTCTCACAATCCAGGACCCCTCAGGTGATATCAAAGAGCTGGTTTTGGCCTGATCCCACAGACCAGGCTGAGGGATCCCACTGGTGCATGAATTTGTGCACCGGGCCTCTAGTTTTTATATAGTAATACTGTATTGTATATTTAAAAATTGCTAAATTTGGCTCAGTGGATAGAGTATTGGCCTGCGGACTGAAGGGTCCCAGGTTTGATCCCCGTCAAGGGCATGTAGCTTGGTTGAGGGCACATTCCCAATTGGGGGAGGGGTGTGTGGGAGGCAGCTGATTGATGTTTCTCTCTCATCCATGTTTCTAGCTTTCCATCCCTCTCCCTTCCTCTCTGTAAAAAAAAAAAAAATCATTAAAATATATTTAAAAAATAAATGCTAAGAGAGTAGATCTTAAAAGTTCTCATCACAAGAAAAACAATTGGTAACTATGTGAAGTGATGGATATTAACTAGACTTAGTGTGGTGATCATATCACAACATATACAAATACTAATGGCCTGGTGCACAAAATTTGTGCATGAGGGGATGGTGTCCCTCAGCTCAGCTTGCACTCTCTCTAATCTGGGACCCCTCTCACAAGCTGGGACTGCTGGCTCCCAATTACTCAACTGCCTGCCTGCCTGATTGCTCCTAACCACTCTGTCTACTGGCCTGCGGGCTCCCAACTTCACCTCTGCCGGCCTGCTAACCCCTCCCCCATCCCACCTCCACTGGTCTGATAACCCACAACTGCCATCCCATCCTAATCTGATCACCCACAACTTCCCTCCCCTCTTGATCCCTAACTGCTTCTACCTTGGTCCCCTCCCCCCCCCCCCACCATGGCTTTGTCCAGAAGAATGTCTGGAATGTCTCTCAGTCTAATTAGCATATTACCCTTTTATTAGTCTAGATGGTGTACACCCGGAACTAATATGTTACATGTCAATGATATCCGATTTAGATGGAGAAGAGACCCGAGTCCCCCAGGTGAGGGAGGGCACGGCTAATGAAACGTAAATGTGTGGTGTGCTCTTATTATAGCCTGGACAGCAAATGGCCTGACCGAAAAGGAAGAGGGGTCCCTGCACCACAGAATGGAATGAATCCCCTCAAGACACTGGGGACGGCAGGAGGGGGATTAGAGAGAGGGTGTGAAGAAACCACCCCGCAACTCCCTCGCTCACGTCCTGATCCCCCCACTTGATTTTTCTTTGAAACATCCTCCCTGTGCTTTCTTTGGCACGCACTATCCTTTTCCAGAGTAGAATGAAAAACAGGGTTTTTTTTTTTTTTTTTTTTTTTTTTTTTTTAATCTCTTTTCTCTTTTCTTCTTTATGGTGGCACCCAGAACAGCGCCTGGCCCACAGCAGGCGCTCAGCCGTTTGTGGACCGAAGGAAGGAATGTCAGCAACGGCTGTTAGTGGGTTTTAGTTGTTTTGGGTTCTCTCACGGCAGAAGGTAAAATGTGGAGAAAGCATACACCCAGGATCACACTGCCCTGTCTCTCTCTTTCTCTTTTATTCTTTCTTTCTCGTTCTCATTCTTTTTCCTCCTCTCCCTTTCTACTTCTTATTTCTCTCTCCTCTATTTTCTTTCTTTCCCTTTCTCTTGGTCTGGTTCTTTCTTTTCTTTCTTTCCTTCTTTTTTTCCTTCCTTCTTTCCTCCTTTCCTCCTTTCTTTCTTTCTTTCTTTCTTTCTTTCTTTCTTTCTTTCTTTCTTTCTTTCTTTCTTTCTTTCTTTCTTTCTTTCTTTCTCCATTCTTTCCTTTGTTTTCTCCCCCCTCTCTCTCCCTCCTTCCTTCTTCTCTCTCTCCCTTTCTCATATTCTCTTTCTCTCTCTTACACACACACACACACACACACACACACACACACACACACACACACATGCACTCACACAGACACACTCACACTTTATTTACCCTGTTCACTTGTGTGATTCAGCTGGAGCTCAGCTACGTCCCACTGGAAGAAAAGAGAAAACGGGGCAATCAGAGCCCCTCTTTGCACTGCTCTTTCCCCTTTACCTTAAGGGGCTGACTTGTGAATTTTATAAAAGCACGCACACAACCCCATAAAGAGGAAGTATGTGAGAATCATCCTGGAGCATAAGAAACAAACCTTTAAGAACTTGAGTTTCCTGGACATGATGCGAGAGGGGGGATGCGTAGCTGCCCCTCTCCACTGCAGAGCCCCCTGCCCACCCCCGAGGCCATCCCTATAATGGGCATGCTGGGCTCTTAGGTGAACAGGTGGGGTTCTTCCTGTCCTTGCCTGCCCCCCACCCTAACCATCCCTTCCAGCTTTGTGAAGCCCCCAGCAGCCTCTGAGTCAGCCTGCTGGGGGAACACCAAAGCCAGTCATTCACTGTCTGCAACAGGTCCCATGTACCTTTCCCAGATGCAGTCAACCACCGTGGGATTCCCACATGGGATTCACCTTCTTGTAGGCAGGAGCCCAGGCCCGTGAGCAGCCTCTGATTCTCTTCCGGGTTGCCCATCTGCCCTCCATACCCTGCCAAGCCATGCCGGGGACCACCCGGATGTCCCCAAGCGGTCCAGCAAATTCACTGGTGTGAATCTTTTTCGTTCTCGATTACCTCAGATGGCTGGAGCAGGTGCTGCTGCGGCGGGTGCTGGTAGTAGAGCATGTAGAGCACCAGACCAAGGATAGTCAGCAGCAAAAACAGCTGCAAAACCTCCCGCAGACCAGGCGCCATGAGCAGGTGGCACAGCCGGCGGGCATAACCTTCCTCCGCCATCTCCGTGGTGGGCTTCTGCTTGAGTGGTGCCTCGCTCTAGGGGAAATGAATTTTAGCACTGGAAGCTCAGAGGGCCGGACCTGCCACTACTTACCAAGGCCTCTCGCCACGCCCCTCTGGGGGAATCCCCAGCCAAGGGGCAGGACTTAAGTTCTCCCAGTGCAGGAACTCCCCGCTTCTGAAGCTACCTTGGACCAGGGAGTTGCCTGTTTTCCATCTTCCCTTGCTCACTCTCCATGCTTACCTTCCATTCACTCACTCACTCACTCACTCACTCACTCACTCACTCACTCAGCACACCTCCTCTGGAGTATCTACTATAGACCAGATTCTGTGCTGGGCACTGGGGCACAGCAAGCACCCAGATAGTGGGGGGTTGAGCCATGTGTTCCTCTCCATCTTCCCGGCCTTTCTGGCACATAGTGGGGCCACACCTGATGGGACCATATGGCTCACCTGTCCAATAGGAAGAGAGTAGAAGGAGATGAATTGTCCCTTCCTGTCTTGATCTTACAAACACCCCACATGGCCCTTCAGTTCTCTCTTCCCCTTGGTCCTTGGAGTCCACCTGTTCTTGTTAATCTTCACCAGAGGTATATATTGAAAAAAAATATTTTTTATTGATTTCAGAGAGGAAGGGAGAGTGGGAGAGAGAGATAGAAACATCAATGATGAGAGAGAATCATTGATTGGCTGCCTCCTGCACACCCCCTACTAGGGATATGCCCTGACCGGGAATCAAACTTCCTGGTTTATAGGTTGATGCTCAAACCCTGAGCCACGCTGGCTGGGCATTAAGGATATTTTTTTCTATTAATTTTTATAGAGAGTGGAAAGGAGGAAGGGAAAGAGGGAGGGAGAGAGAGGGAATGTGTGTGTGTGTGTGTGTGTGTGTGTGTGTGTGTGTGTGTGAGAGAGAGAGAGAGAGAGAGAGAGAGAGAGAGAGAGAGAGAGAGAAGTATTGATGTGAGAGAGACACATTATTGCCTCCCAAATGCGCTGCAAATGGAACCTGCAACCCAGCCACATGCCTGTGACTAGGAATTGAACCTTTGGTGCATGGGCCAACATTCTAACCATGGAGCAACACTGGCCAGGGCAAGTCAACCTGTTTTTGATGGCTGTAGTGTGTTGAATAGTGCCTGCCTCTTCTACAATAATTTGTATCTCTCCAGAACCTTGGTGTGTGATTTCATTTGGCAATGGGGTCTTTGCAGGTGTAATTAGGCCAAAATGAGGTCATAATGTGTTGGAAGCTGCCCATTGCCTTCACTAGCAGAAAGAGGTGGACAAGGAACCCGGAAGGCTGGTCAACCTTGAGGCTCTTGGCAAGGGTCCGAGCCATAAACCCACTGTCTAGTTGAGACAAAGGTAGCTGAAGTAACTTTCACCTTTTAGTCTTATGTAAATCCTTGCTGATGGGCTATCATCAAGTTATTGTTGGAATTGCTTGTCTAAGGGCTATAGTGGATCCCAAACGTGAATAAAAGGGATCACAAGGCCAAAGCAAAGCGGAGTCCTTTCCTGGGCTTCTGCCTGGCCCCCAATTCCCAAATTAATATTTTCTTGTCTAGTCTCTTTCATTTGTGTGTGGCCTCCTCCAGAGCCTGAACCCTGAACCATGTGTGGGGCATTCACAATAATGCATTAAGGTGGGTCCTAAATCCAATGACTGATGTCTTTATAGGAAAAGAAGAGGATACACTGAGACAGAGGCAGATGGCCATGTGACATCAGGCAGAGATTGGAGAGATGCATCTATAAGTTGAGGAATGCCAAGGATTGCCTCTGCCAACAGAAGCTAAAAATAGAGCCATGATCAGACAAGACTGACTTCCTTAAGATTTACTAATACATAACTTAAAAAGTAAGCCACGAAGAGGTGACTAGTATCCCTTAGGTACACAAAACAAATGTGGGCAGCCAGGTTATAAAAAGCAATGCAAATGCATTGGAACACAGTCTCATTCTTATTCAGAGAGTTGGAAAGAGCGTTGGAGGCTGGGATTTGAAATGGATACATTTGGAGGTACAGTTTGGGGAAATGAATTGATACCAAAATATGCATCTCCTTCCACCCAGCAATTTTACCTCAAGTTTATTTTGTCAGTGCACTTGCATGTTGTCACAAACACAGATGTCACAACATAAAAATTCAGTGTGGTGTAATCTATAATAATGAAGACGGACCCCCCCCCACCTACTCCCCCTCAATCATTTGTTAGTAAAGATGAAAGCTCTGGCCAAACACCTAGCAGGTGTCTCCTTTTATGACACATTTGATAATAACCACAGCCTGGGTTTTCCCCCCGGTCTTGTATGATAGGGTCAATGACCCTGGGTGGCTCCATCCGTCAATAGTTCCCTACACTGTGTAGTTCTGTGAAGGGCGGGGGTTCTGAAACCAGCGCTGCAGAGAAGGATGACGTGACCTTTTCTCTCCCTGGTCAACAACATCCCTTCACTGTCCCTTCACCACTTCTGAGGAGTCAGGGATGCCTGGCGACAGTACAGGGGAGGGAACCGAGAGGAGAAGCCCTGGGGAGCTATCTGAACACAGGAGGTAAGATCACTTTCCTCTTGAAGAGTTTATTTTTAACTCCCCTTTGCTCTGCCCAAGGGCCACTCAGAACCATTCACACCCACTCATGATCCTGAGAAGTGAGAATAGCTCGAAGGTGCCAACCTGGTGCTCCTTCACTTCTCCTTTGTTGTGGATATTCCCACTGGCCAGAGAGCTATGCCCCTTGGTGTTCTTTTTTGCAGGGTTCTGACCCGGAAGGAGACAAAGGCCCCTTCTCGATAGCCCCTCTCCCTTAACTAATGTCATGCTTCCCACTTCTTGAATTTAAGCCAAAAGAGGGGGCATCTGGACACCCCATTTTAGCACCATTTTCCCCTAACCCATCTCTATCTCCTCTCTAGGACTGGAAGAATTTGGATTTTCCCCATTTTTTCAGGGTAAGGGCTTATATGACTTAAAGGCTGAAAGATTAGATTCTAAAGCCAGCCAACCTAGCAGGGCGAGGTGAGTGACACTCAGGTGCAAAAGCAAGGGGGCACCCCAAAAACAGTGATCAAGTAAAATAATATTCTAGGGCACATGTGTCAAACACAAGGCCCGCGGGCCAAATCCGTCCCTCCAGGCCTTGCAATGTGGCCCGCACCGCGCTGTCATCACTGCACTCCGCTGCGTTTCCATCACAATGACAGTTTATGACTGTTCAGTAAACCATTCGGCCCGCGATTTAGGCTGGATTTTAGATTTTGGTCCCTTCTCTGATTGAGTTCGACACCCCTATTCTAGGGTAATATATTTATTTATTTATTTATTTATTTATTCTCACCCAAGGATATTTTTTTTCCCATTGATTTTTAGGGAGAGTAGTAGAGAGAGGGAAAGACAGAGAGAAACATCGATGTGAGAGAAATATTGATTGGTTGCCACCTGCAGGAGCCCTGACCAGAGACCGGGCCAGGGAGGAGCCTGAAACCAAGGTAAGTGCTCCTAAATAGAATCGAACCCAGGACCATTTGGTCCACAGGCCAACGTTCTATCCACTGAGCCAAACCAGCCAAGGCTAGTGTAATATTTAAAAAAGCTGATAAATTATTGCCCAAAAATGTGCAGGATGAACAAAATATCAAAATGTTTTTTTATGGGGGTTTCTCTCTCTCTCTCTCTCTCTCTCTCTCTCTCTCTCTCTCTCTCTCTTTTTAACTATTTTTTTTCTTGTGATAAGAATATTAAAGATCTACTGTCTTAGAAACTTTCAAATATACAATACAGTTGTGAGATTCTCCCTCCCCCCAACTGGTGGGCGGAGTTATGATATTTATGATATTACTGGCATCTGCCACAGAGACATCCCTAAGACATTGAACCACCAATCAGCACATGCCAAAGTGCCCTGGAGCCCACCCCTTCCTGTTCCACTCTGGGTCCAACCCTCTCCTGTTCCTCTCCTTAAAAAGACCCCCAGACCAGCCACATGTTGCTTCTCTCATTGCCATCTATGGCGGCAGCCTGGCTGGGTCCTTTCTCCCCTCCCCACTCCTTCAATTCTGATTTCTCTACCTCCGTAATGAGTCCTGCTCATTACTGGGGAATAAACTTTACTTTAACATGTCTTGGTGGTCTCTGACTTCAGTTTCCTGCGCCTCAAACCTTACAACAGTGTTATCAACTACTGTCACCATGCTGTGCATTATCTCCCATGATTTATTTATTTTATAGCTGGAAGTTTGTACCTTTTGACCACCTTGACCCAAAATGTTTAAAGAATTGATATGACCTGCACTTGCATTGGTCACATCACTTTCTTTAACCTAATCCTGAACCTGGAGCCTAAATTTGAATTCTGGCTCCATCACTTACTAGATGTATGACCTTAGGCAAGTTACTTAACCTCAGTTCCCTGGAGGTAATAATGTTAATTATCTCAGAATTGCTATACAAATTAAGAGTTAATATTCAGCCCTGTCCAGTGTGGTTCAGTAGTTAGAGCACCAGCTTGTGCATCAAAGGATTTTGGGTTTGATTCCTGGTTAAGGGCATATATGTGGATTGCCCATATATTGTTCAATTCCCAGTCCCAGTGGGTCTCTCTCTCTCTCTCTGTCTCTGTCTCTCTCTCTCTTCTCCTTCCTCTCTAAAAATCAGTGGAAAAGGCCTACTTCAAAAAACAAGAAAAACTAGTAATAAATTACTTAGCCCTACAACTTAAAGAATTATAAAGAGAGCAATAAGAAAGCCCAGAGAAAGCAGACGGAAGGAAATAATAAAGATCAGAGTGGAAATAAACAAATACAAAAACAAATAAGCAAAACAACAAAACATAACAAAATAAAAACAATACAAAAGATCAATAGAACCAAGAGTTGGTTCTTTGAAAGGATAAACAAGATTGATGAACCTTTAGCCAGGCTCACCAATAAACAAAGAGAGAGGACCCAAATAAACAAAATCAGAAATGAAAGAGGTGAAGTAACAACCAACC